TCGTTTGCAAGGATTGTAGGGCGTTCAGACTTGCATTGGAAATGTCACCACTCATCCTCAAGGGTAGCGCGGTGAAAACACAGAACAGTGCAGACAAATATAAAGAATGATGTAAATTCAATGAACATAGCTCCTGTGCCAATCAAACCAGCATGCCGCAGGATAATGGGAATGGCTATGCTCCCTACAGCAGATGCCCCTGTTAAGAACTTAGCACCGTTGATCCAGCTGCAACAGAACAAAATTGCACCAAAAGAGTTAAATTTGCCAAAACTTAAAAAAGAATGGAGACAATACAGGAAACATTAGTAGCTTCTTGGTGTTGTTGCAGCTAATGACGGACATGAAATATTTATTGGGACAATCATAACAGGAAAAAATCTTAGTAACATGTATTAAAACATGAACTTAGAAATGTCATCAGGTCACTTCAGCACAAGTGAAGCATAACTCACCTACTCCTGGCAAGGCTTCAACGCTTATTCCCCAATACAAAATAGCACAACAAAGGCACAAATCAAGCAAGTCAAAATGATCTTATGGGCCAAGTACACATACTAGTTTTCATGTGTTCTGATGTCGTTTCACTATACATTGATTGCACAAAGAGCCATTCTAGCTCCAGCAATTGCAACAACAGAAAAAAGCACACCAGAATTTTAAGCCTGTGAATAAAATTCTAATTTGCGTGAGTGCCAAAGTTAATTACAAGCAGTATTGTAATTGTACTCAAACAAAGCCTTATCCCATGCACATTATTAATGATTAATGCAACAAAAATTATATTCAACTTTCATCATGCAGTTTGTTTGATCCTTGAGCTTAGCAAAAATCACAAGCTAGTCTAGTAGTCGCAAAAATGGTCAAATTAGCCCCGCATTTACATTTGGTCACAATTTTCATCTCCATGTTCATGTTAACACGCAGTCACTCACTAAATGACATTTTCACAACGCGGTTGATCGTCAAACCTTCGTAAAAGAGACTGAAGTTACCAAAATACCTTCATACACAAAGTTTAGAAAGATGATAAAGGCAAAAATTGAAATATATTAAGATATGTAAGCAGAATGAGGAAAGAAGTTCTTAAACCAGCCTGCCTGATGTAGGACAAGGATAAGACAACAAGAAGGGGGGGAGAAACTAGAGAGAACGAGGGAGAGAAGCCGGAGAAGAAACAGAAATTCAGGGGGAAAGGATTAGGAAGAAAACAATTGCTCCAAGCAACGCCATTTCATTTAATCATATTCATCAACTGTCTAAACTACAATGTGAAAACCATATAAATAGTAAAAACCTAAACCTCCTAGTATTGGGTTTGGATCAACCCTCTAATACAAGCCCAATAATAATAAAACGTAAATAATAAAATTCCATAAAAATGATGTCTGCATCAACTCTCCCTGGGTGGGAGAAAACTGGACCCCTTCGAGTGGATAAACTTCTACCACAGGGGACGATCTTTCATAAGAACCAAATATCGAAACTCAACAAATGATGTCAACGCCAGTTGCAAATTACCCCCAAGAATATGATCTGACCATGGTGACCTGGGTGTAGGCAAGTTTAAAAAAAAAAAAAGGGAAAAAAAAGTGTGAAAAAAGATATTCTAACATTTTTTAGGTATATCTTGACCTGTTGGTTGGCTCGGTACTTCGACGATCTTGTTGATTGGCTCGGCTACTTTAACGAATAAAGGAAAGTTTTTGTTTTATTTATCATTGGTTTATATTACTGTTTATTTTAAAATTGCATCAATTAATTTCATTGTGCTGCTGTTGTTCTAAATTTTACCTAAAGTTCACGTGATCGAATACCTTGACTTGTTAAATTCCCATAATTTTACGAATCTCTTGACTTGTTCAATTCTCATTTTACCCCACTTATTTTGCCCCCGTTTGGCACCCATTAATTTCTCATTCCCATTCTAATTATCATTCTTCATTTCAACCACACATTCTTTAAATAAAATAATATTACACACAAATCAAAAACTTTTCATCACTTTTCCACCACACATTCTTACATCAATCACTATTCCAAAATTTCTATTCTCCTCAAAATTAGATTCAAACACACCTTTTATGTGATCGGATTTTGACTAGTATTTGACCTTTTGCGATTTTACATATATCAGCAGTATTAGCTTGTCATATTTGAATTTACATAATCCAAAAAAAAATAAAATATATAATAATAATAATAACAGTTGTTTTCATTTTAAAATGAGTTGTTTATTGATCTCTCCAGGCTTCATTTCGTTCTTTGCATGCAGTTGCATAGTGGTCTTTTTGTCGAATCTAGCTCCAGTACACTTCATTTAGCCGGTAGAATGTTGCATGCAGTTACGTAGTGGTCGTCTTATCATATTTAGTTCTAATAACCTGACCATGGACCCATCACAATTTGATGTCCTCACCAGACACTTAGAACAACTTGCCACTTATCAACAACAGTTCCAAACTCAATTAGCGGCTGTCCAAACTGAGATGGTTGTTAATCTTGAAGAGAGTAGGAGCCTAGCTGCTAGACTGAACAAGTTTAAGCAAATCCCTCATTCGACTGATATTGATAATTTTGAAGTGTCCTATAATAGACAAAATCATTATCAACAAAGTGATCAAAAATATTTTCGACACGATCGCAGGACTAGGGGTCATGTTCATGAGCGAACACGAGGTTATAACCGTCACAATACTCATTCTCTTCCACGTCATAAGGAGCGTTTCTTTATAAACAATAAAGTAGACGCTCCTACTATTGATGGTTGCTTAGATTTTGAAGTTTTTACTCGATGGACCGCCCTTAAACAACAAAATCGGTTAGTGACTGACTATATTGCTGAATTTGAGGAATTTCGAATGAAATATCATGTCATTAAGGATGAGGGCCTGACTTTGAGTAGGTTTGGACAAGGTCTAAGAGATGATCTTAGGCTTGAGCTTTTCCTTTGGGTGTCACTACTCTTGATCACGCTTACTCTTTAACCCGAGATTATGAGTTGATTATTGGTACTCCATATGAAAAGCATGGTGACAACCATACACCCAACTCATCAGCGCTGCGTCCTCTTAAGTCTATTAGGAGACCTTACCCGTCAAATGTTCCTCCTGTGTTCGAAAATAAGGGTACAACTTATGAAATTCCAAGGACTTCTTCTCACTTGTGGTGCTTCAACTATAAAGATTTTGTCCACACATCTTCCAAATATCCTAACTGAGCTTTAGTCATTGAAGAACGAAAAAATATAATAGATGTACAGTTAGACAATCAAGTCTATGAACCCAAACTTGAAGAATTTGATGACTTTGATGATAATAAGAACACCTCCTTAGGTAGTATTCAGACTTTTTCTAGGAATCTACGTATTGTACCCCTTATTTCCAATACCTCTCGGTCAAGTGTTGCATGTCATACCATTATCCAACCCAAATGTGCTATCGATTTGTGTCATCATGCCATTTTCAAGGAAAATCTTGGGAATCGGGATTTGATCCTCCCAACAGTTCAACTTACATATAACAATTATGTGATTCGGTCTATAAGTATGAATCCCTTTGAAATTATTCATGGTTATGAGCTTATGAAGCCTTTGGATCTTATTCCCATGTCCGCACATGCTAGTGTGTTGATGTCAGCTGAAGCATTTGTACATCATCTTCATGATTTACATATTGAGATCAATAAACAATTTGAAGCAAGTAATGCATTCTATAAACTTCAAGATGATTTGCATAAACGACATTTTGAATTTAATACTAGGGATTGTTATATTGCAAGCCCGTAGAGCTGGTCATTTTAAAAATTTAAAGCATGTTGGTCCAAATGCACATGCCTTTTATCACATTTTGGCTATCACTCTACTTTAAATATTGCGGACTTCATTACTTACAAACACCGTTTCAATTCCTTTGCTGATCCTTTTTCTATTTAGCTCTGTGGATTTCCAACTTGTCTATGTTGATATTTTTACTTCCATATCATCTGTCACAGCACACAAAGATATAATTGATGTTATTTTAGATGAACAGATTGTGTTGACCAATGATGGAGATATTTGGTGCTTCCTTGCTCGTTGGCTAGTTCCACCTGATGCAGACCATACATGGAGTTCTATAGAGAAGTTCCAACAAATTTGGATTACACTGCTGAAGTTTCAATATTCGGTTCTTACGAAAGATCGTCCCCCGTGGGAGAAGTTTATCCACTTAACATAGTCGAGTTTTCTCCCACCCCGGGAGAGTTGATGCGGTCCCACCCCGGGAGAGTTGATGCGGACATCAATTATCAAGATTTAGTTTTTATTGTTATTGGACCTTATTAGTTATGTTTTCTATTATTGGGCTTGTAGTAGTGGGTTGGCCCAAGTCCGTCACTTGGCTAGGTTTTTACTATTTTAGGGTTTTTCATTGTAGTTGAATTAGATGATGATTATATGAAATTAAAAACATTTTGGCTTGCAGCCCAACGATTTTCCCTTTTCCCCTGATTCTCTCCCCTTCTCTGCCTCTTCTCCGGTTCTCCCCCCTTTCTCTCCGGTTTCTCCCCCCTTGCTTGATGTCTTCTCTTTTGTCCTGCATTACTGCCATTCCACCAGGCCGCTCCTTCCACCACCATCAAACCTCCATCCATTTTTGTATCCACCAAATTTAACTAGTGAGGAAAAAAAAAGGAGAGAGAGAGAGAGCCCTGGCCACCAATATTTGGCCCAAATCACTACCACCATGTGTACTTGATATAGCAACCATAATATGTATGGGAAAAAGGGATGGGAGACATGAATCCACCCATGCTCATTACTATTCACTAGACACCACCAACCCCCAAAATCCATGTTATCATCACTGCCTGCAATCCAACACTCCATGTCCAACTAGAGGTGTAATATGGGGCCTTGAAGAGGCGGCATCTGCACAGCTGCGCCACACCTTGCTGCTGTTTTTAATTTTTATTTTTTTTAAGCAGCCTAGCATTGCCCAGGTTTCTAGAGGGGCCAGCCAATTCATGCCAAACAAAGACTGAGCCGCCAAAGGCCTGGGCGTTCAAGCTCATTTTACCCATCTACGTACAACACCAATGCCACCCACCTCCAAAACCAAACCACAACAGTGAGAAAAGACTCATCATCTCCCAATGCCAATTTCATCAACATTTTTATTAATGTTTGGGTCTGAAATGAAATCTTCAACAGCCACAACATCACAGCATTTACAATGCTCATTATTCTCTACTGTTGGGGTTGATGGTTCAATTTAACTTTTTTAGGATGGCCGGAAGGGGAAAATGGAGATTATGGGGAAGAGGGGTCTTGACCAATTGACCTAATCCTTCTTCATTTCTTTAGTTCTACTCCTACTTCCTTTTCTTTTTTCCTTTTAGACCATCAATTTGAAATTGATCGTGAGATAATACTTAGTGACAACATGTGGCTTCATTGTGCCGGCTTAAAATCAACACCGTGCAATTTTTCCCAGCCAATGTAACAATGGATTTCAATTTGACAGATTTTGGATCCCCAGCAACTCGTTCGCAGAGTAAAATAAAATTAACCCGCATATAACAATGAGAACCCCACACGATACGAGCAACACAATATCATTTTTGAAATGACCTTACAATCAAAGAGAAGTTCAAGAGAGTTGCATTCCTATCTGGGGAGCTTGTTTTAGCTCATATTATAATTAAAATTCATAAAAAATTTATCAAAATATTGTATCAATACAACTAAATAATATCAGCCATGTGTTACTGTATAATACTTACATCTTCATTGACACTGTTAATCAGCCCCAACGTCTGTCTACAGACAACTAAGTTCACAGGCATGCAATGGGAGGTTTGAAATAAAACATAGAGCAGTCATCAGAACTATAAATAATGGTCCAAAACATTAGGTTGACAAAACGAACATGATGTCAAACGTACCAAGAACGTAACTCTAATGGATAATTTCAAAATGCAATCTTGAACAATGTAATTGAATACGAAAAAAGTTAAGGAAGTTCCTGAAATGCTTGATTGAATACTCACCCCCCACCATCTCGACTGACTAGAAACTGAGTTGACCCACCGCCAAAGAATAAACAAGGCATTGGCACAAGAACATACATAAGAGCTGTGAGAACAATATTTTCATCAGTGAGGTCAGACATTCACACATTCAATAATCATTTCTAATGTAACCTCAGTCTATTTTCACACAAACCTGATAACATTGGCCACCAGTTGTTGTATATGGCACAAGCCTGCAATCAATAATTAGAGAATAGAACCATTAAAAGTTCACCACCAGAACAAGGATGCAAGTGCCGACAAGGATAAAAAAACGAAAATCCAAACATATTTGTGCCAAAAAAAAAAAGAGAAAAGAAAGACTTTGGAAAAGTAAAAACCCTTGGACATGTAAAGGATAGATATAATTTTTATAAAATGATATAACTTCATCCAGGCTTTTGTTTCCTAGCAATGACCATGCGTATATTATTCGTTGTGAATTTATTAGATCTTCGAATGATTGAAGGACGTTAAGTCGTTAACAACCATATGCTTCTATTTACTACATATCAAAATGTTATTGAGCAACTAAAAATAAGCATATCAAATATAATACTCGAGCTAGATTTAACAAAAATAAGTTTGGTTCCTTCAATCTAAGGTACAAGCCATCTGTTTCTTGATAGCACATTACTTAACTCCGATTTTCAAATATGCAAGCCGTTTGTGGTGAGAATCGCACGTACGGTAACGAGGGGGTTCGCGACTATACGTATAGTGTGGTGCTTGGTAGCCTTTAGATACAAGACCTCTATCCTGTGATGATTGGTCTTGACATTCCGGCCAGCATATCTATGTCGACACAACACACAACATAGGTATGGGTATGAAATATGAGGTGGATCCTTCAATTTTAAGCGAGTATGGCAATTGTAATTAATTACGTCATTTCTAACTTTTATTTTAATTTTGTGCTTTTGTCATTCAAATTTATGTTGTTTTTGGCGCTTATATATATATATTTTTTTTATAACCGTGGATGTTCAGGCCAGTTTGCGCGCACCTCGACTAATTCCATGGGGCCCTGAAGTTTACTACCGGGTACTCACCTCGGTGGCCTTGAGGGGACTCGATTTTTGGCGCTTGTCTTTTGGTATAAATTTCTAGTTGATTTTAAGTGACATTCTATATTTTAACAAGTTGCCACTAATTTTTATTTAACTTTTTACATGTGAGTTTTTGGGCAAAAAAATTGAAGTGTGAAAGACGTACCCATATCCAAAATTTGGACTCTTTTTAGCTGTGTTCGCGTATCCTACATTTTAGAAAATAAAATACCCGACACTTAGATACATACCCGTACCCAAGTCTAAGTATCATAGCCTGTATCTTCTAGAGGAGGCCTTAACAATTACCCAAATGGACATCCCACCAAATTGTGATCCAAAAATTTGAGAATAGAATGTAACAAAAGAAGATACATAAAGAGTTTGACATCTTTTTTCAGTTCGATGGGTTTTTATCTATACATTGTGCAAGAGTTAGCCTACAAGATCTATAGGCTAAACTAGAACCAAGAGTGATTACTTGTATTCTAGCATTAAGATGTTAACATATTCCCAACTCTATTAGAAGTTCTGAATGACGACAGCACAAATAGAAGTGCTGCTTGAACCAAGCTCCCAAAGTAAATTTTCAAGAGAGTAGCATCGAGAATAGCTTAAAATTCAGAAAATCTACTTCAAAAATGTGAGAGTACATTCTATTAATGGTAACATGGTATACAGGCATAAACCTACCAGAATTTGAAGCAGGATGCTCGATGAAAACATGAAAGCGAGTCCTGCAAGACTGATTGTTAAATGTTAAGTTAGAATATTTTACTAGTCAACAGCAAAAGATTAAATATGTATATTAATATTTCTACTTACACTGCATTTGAGGAGGAGAACACCATTCATCCGTTAGAAAATAATGGAACATGGACCAGAAAAAGAAGCAAAAAAGAATAGTTAAATTCAACATTACTTGCACTCTGTTCAGAAAGATATTTTCTGTAAGGCCAAATTTGGCGGCCGGGAGAAAACCATAAAATCAAAATTGCACTTAGCAAAGGCAAGTCTATAAGAGGACTAAGACATAAAGATATGAGCTGGCCATCACAAACTCTTCCAGATTTTCTGGTCGCAAATGTCTTTAGGTAAGACCAACTGCTTCCTAAATACTGAACATAACTAACGAAAAACAGTATGCCTTAATAGATGATGGCATGTTTGTTTGTCTAACAATGATGAGAAGATCTCCCTCTGAAGGATAGAAAATATGTAGTTTATAGTTGCAGCTTCTAAATACTTAAGATACTCAAAATAACATATTTTTTTTCTTTTGTTCTGAACATAATACAAAATAAAATCTATGATGTCTCAGATAAATGCCTACCATTAAACACATAAATTTCCAATAAACCTGAGCCTCCGTATAGGAAGAATTTATAAATAGATAGAAATGAGTGGTGAATAAGTCCAAATAGTACTTGTGGGTTCATCGACATGTGTGGTTGAAAATGGAGTTTGACCATTTATAAAGATTTATAAATTTTCCAAACAGAGAGTTAAATATCATAAAAAAAATAAAAGCCTACGTTGTGTTTGACAGCATGAAATAGGGGCCTCGGAGTTGCAGTTTTTCAAACATTATTTCAAGTTCTTGATTGGAAACACCAATTCCGGGCCATTACAAGTTGCCAAACACAACCAGAGAAAACTACCTGCAAAGACTCAAAAAAGACGATACATTAAGGCGACTGTTTATATTGCACTCTGCAAAAATCGGAGTTATTATTTTACTTCTCCGTAAAGCTTTGATTTTGAGATTCATTCAATTAAAACACCTATAGTACAGCAACAGTGTTAAGGCTATAGATCATTTAAAACGAAATGGAACAAACAAAAGTACCTGATAACTACTCAATAAAACTTCAAATTCAAAATTCAAAACAGAAACTATGATTAAATACCTGCGTGTATTCAAATTCCATGTGGTTTGCATATTATTTTGGTAATCACTGATCTCTATTAGAATGATGATTGAGCATACTTTTTATACAATTTTTCTCTTGGAAACTTAATCTTTAAACAAACAGAGACCTAATCCACTAATTTTATTTACTTTAAATGCGAATATTGACCCAGCTTGTATCCCAATAGAATAATTATAAATAAATATAAATTGAATGAGGAAAGGGGAGACGGAGAACTCGAACCTTCAATGGTCATCGCCATGTCTGCAAATTGAATGGAGTATTGATTACTAAAAGTCGATGCTCAAATTCTGAATGAATTTGACTGAATTGTTACTTCAAACAGGGAGTAGGGGTTGATGAAAGAGGAAAGAACAGCAGATTTACAACTGAATTTTGATTATTAGTCAGCGTAATTGGAACTCTAATTTTAATATGGTTTCAACCTCGTTGCCCGATGCCCTCTTTTAACTTTTGGGAAATAGCAGATAAGACCCCAATCTTTAATTTTCCTTGCACTTTGGTATCCTTAACTGCACTGATGCCCTTGGTAGGGGTGGGCAATACCCGACCAAACCGGTCAAAACCGCCCAACCCAAACCAACCCNGCATTTTACGAAAAACAATATAAGCAAATATCCATTCATCACAAAAATATTTTAATTGCAAAAAACATTTCTTGACTTTATGTAATTTTATATTAATTTGTCCATATAACATTTTCAAGCATAAAGTTCCAAAATAATTCATATTTTTTTGTTTGTTCTATGCAACTATGGAGACCAAATATTATATAAGTCATGAGTCAATTATAAATTTGTCCAACTCGACCCAACTAATTTAGTCTTTACTGACAAGTTGTTCCAACCCGACCAACTCAGCCGGTTGGGTTGGATTGGGTTTCAACCTTTACACGGGTTGGGTTAAGTTAAATTATGATCAAACAGATCATGTTAGATTGAGTTTGGACTGAGGCAAAAACCGATCCGACCTATGCCCACCCCTAGCCCTTGGTAGTCAATTTTCGTCTATTTGATTTTTACAATGTCTCAAGCACAGAATCAATTCAAACTATTCAGGTCCATTTGGCGTGGCTTTTAAAAAGTTAAAAGGTGTTTTTGAGATTCAAAAGCAATTTTTGGACTCATTCGATTGATTTGTGAAAGTGCTTTTCCTAGTCATTAGAGATTTGAGAGGTAATTGGTCTAACATGTCTTCCTATGAAAGCACTTCTAGAATATAAAATTCTTTTAAAAATTATTTTTCAAACAAAAATTGAAGTAAATTCTATCAAAAACTTTTTTTTGAGAAGTAAAAGCAAAAGCGAAACAATATATAAATAAGTTGGTTACTATATACAATTTCAATTTTAAGAAATTTTAAACATTCAAAAATCGTATTGTAATTAAAATTGTTTGTGACAACTACTATCATACCGCCGCCACTAGCACAACCACCACTGGTACTATCGTCCTCAGAACCACTACTACCAAGAATAAAAATCATCCCAAAACTTCGGCTAAGCAACGGATCGGAGGAGGAAAAACTATCCCAAAAACACAGCAACCGCTGTATGGTGGAATGCAGCATCGAGCGTAGTGATGTCATGGTGCTGCTCGGCTACATCTTCCAACTGCACTGTTCCATGTGTGAGGGAGAAAATGGAGAGAGAATGAGAGGAGAGATAGAAGATAGAAGGGAAATAATTAGGGTTTGAAGTGAAATTTAATGAAGTGGTATGGGGTTGGGGTGGATGGGTAGATTTATTTAATTTTATAATATTATTTTATTAACATTAAAAATTTTAATTATCACCTAAATTTTGAATAAAAAACTTTTTAGCAAGATTTTTGAATTGTAAAGTTAAAAAAATTTTGTGGGTGTGAATTTCACCAGCAAACGTCATGCCAAACGCAAAGTTAATTTGTGTGTTGGTGAAAATACACAACAAAGCAAACAAAGTGCAAAGAGGATCGAAGTTGAAATGGAAAGACATTAATATTTTTAAAGTTCGTTATTTTTTAGTGATTTTTATAATTCGCAACAATACCAGACAAATCGCAGCAAACGTAAAATAAAATCAACGAAATCAAAAAAGGGACTTTAGGATTCTTGCAACATTCCTGAATCTTTGCCAATTTTTAGAAATCTTTTAAGAAAATTTTAATAATTTTTAATAAATTTTAGAAGTTTAGTTCTACGTTTTAATACAAAAAAATTCAAGGTGGTGAAGGTGAAATTTATCTATATAATTATTGTGTGTGCAATTATTGGGCAATGTGGACAAGAATATCTGCTAGACGTAGAGGTGGGCATTTTTTCCCAAAATCGAAGGAATGGGATCGGAACCGGAAAGAATCAGCCAGTTCGGTTCCGATTTTTTTATTAGATGGATCGATTTTGAGACTATACATTTAGAAACGATCGATTTCGATCTAATTCTTGGCACTAACTTAAGAACCAACAATGAATTCCATTCTCCATAGTTTCTATTTTTATTGGTATATTGCACAAATAACATTAGATATTTGAACACTAGACCATAAAATTATATCATGTCAAAACTACACTTTTCATATACTTCTTTTTTTCTTTTACAGTAAAATTTAATGGGAAATCAACATTTGAATCTAAATAATTTTATAAATACTTTACAAAACTTTGTAGATTTAGCCCATGTTTGATCTACATTATTTTTTTCATTCTCATTCTTTTACTCATTTTTAACAACACATTTTTCAATAAAATAATATTTTACATCACATCAATAATTTTTCCTTCTTTTTCAACCAAATATTTCTCATCAAATCACTTCAAAAAAATGCATTCTCTCATTTTAATGTGCACCAAACGGGCTCTTAATGTAACCCAAAAAAAAAAAGTATATTTTTAGTTCAATCTTCCGTAAAAACTCAATTTTTTTGTTATTTTCTAAGTGGTCGATTATCATGATCAAGATCTTCTCCTTAAAAATTATTGAAGATAATCTGTTTATAAATACTACATTCATTTTTTAATATATTATTGTATGAATTTTTTAAAAAAATTAATTTTTTATCCAGATTTTACAGTTTATATTGTGTTTAATAATATATCATTTTTATGTCCTTATTAATTGATCTTAAGCCTTGGAGTGTATTTTTATTTATTGCCTTATTTAATTCATTTATATATTATTAGATTACAAGAATATAAGTTAATTTTAAGTCTATTTTATCTATTTTTAATCTAAAAGTACTTTAATACTTTATTTTTATAAATTTTTTTAATATGAAGAACCGAACTAGAACCGATGGTTCGATTTCGGTTCGGTTCGGTTCGGTTCTATGGTTAGTTATGGAACCAATAGTTTCATTTTTAAGATTTTCATTTGTACTTGATTCAATTTGATTCCCTTTGAAATAGGATTGAATCGGATTGCGCCCACCCCTAACTAGATGCATGGCAAAATGAATAATTAGTACCAATAGCTTTTTGCCAAAACAATGCGAGAAGGATCACATATTTTTATAAAGAAATTTCGAAATGATACTAATGTCTCTAGCCTCAAAACTATAAATAAGGGCCATTTCATTTGAAAATTGCAAATCCTCATAAAGTGTCTTAAGTAAGCTAGGAGCGGTGCAAAATAAGCCCTTGTTTGGGCCCATTATTCCTATTAAATTATAATTAATTTTCTTCTTTCTTCTTATCAATTACATATGGGAAAAATTCAGTTTTCAGATGTTTTCTTTGGCCTATTTCAAAAATGACAAAACATCTTTCATTTTTCTAAAATCAAAGAATTTGACATATATATACACATACATATAAATATTTATTTATATATATAAATATATAAAAAGATATAAATAAATAAATAAACATATATAATTAATCCACCCACCCCCACACCCACCACCCCACCTCCACCACCCCACCGCTCCGGCGACCTCTCC